GGCGTAGGTAACCAACATGGCAGCCACGAATTTAACAGCTGTTTTTTGTTTACTCGTATTTTTATTCTTAAATATGCATTAATTAATCAGACCAATTGAGTTACTTTTGTTAATTTTTGACCTTCCTTATACTCTCATTCATAATAGATAGATCCCATATCCTACAAAGTTGTGTAGTCTGTTAGAGGTTAGGATACAGGTTAGGTATGCCCGCACGAATTGAACCTTGTCATTTGTTAGTACTTTTCGAGTGGATAGATAGCATTTTGAAAGAAAAAGTTGAATAATTTTCCTTTTTTATTAACTTCTAGCATCTTATAATTTAACACAAAACAAAACCAAAACAAACAACAACAAGCCTTCAAGGAGTGAGCTTTTTTGGTTCTACCAGTCACTGGTAGCCGTTAGGGCGTAGGTAACCAACATGGCAGCCACGAATTTAACAGCTGTTTTTTGTTTACAAGTATTTTTATTATTAAATATGCATTAATGAAATCAGGCCAATTGTTTCTTTTGTTAAATTCTGACCTGTCCTTATACTCTCATTCATAATAGATAGATCCCATATCCTACAAAGTTGAGTAGTCTGTTAGAGGTTAGGATACAGGTTAGGTATGCCGGCACGAATTGAACCTTGTCTTTTGTTAGTAATTTTCGAGTGGATAGATAGCATTTTGAAAGAAAAAGTTGAATAATTTTCCTTTTTTACAAGCCTTCAAGGAGTGAGCTTTTTTTGGTTCTACCATTCACCGGTAGCCGTTAGGGCGTAGGTAACCAACATGGCAGTCATGAATTTAACAGCTAACCAACATGGCAGTCATGATTTTAACAGCTGTTTTTTTTTTGTTTTTTTTTTTGCCTTCAAGGACTGTTATAGCTTTATTTTTGGTTCTACCAGTCACCACACGTAGCATTGCGGAAAAATTACATTTCACATGCTAAGAAAAGAAGGGGACGTTCACGATCTTACTGGACATTTCTCTATTCGAGTTAACATCTTAAAAAACATCGTGAATACCCCTATTAATTTTATGTTTTACTTATTGTTGCTTATATAAGTATGGCTGTATTTGTATTTAGTAGCCAATAAATAAATATCCTGCCTCTCAACTACGGTAGTTGTAGTGCATCGCATATCATCTCATGTACTGAGGTTCGATGGAGGAATTACATACAAGTACCCATTGGGAATTACATTAAATGTTAAATTTAAAAAAAAATTATCAGTGGGTTTTGAGCCTAATTTTTGATTAGGATACCATATAGATGAGATCCTTACTTTTGTTGTATTGATTTGTAGGGTTGGTGAAGCTCGAAATGTACCGAAATAAGTTAATATTTATGCTTCGGAACACCTTCTTTTCTCAACCAACCATCTAAATAAAATTGAAAACCCGGTGGACATACGACAATATGAATATAAATTTCAATAGAATCTGATTGAAGTTGGACGTTGAAAGATGCATGAGAGAGAATGGCTCCGCGGGGACTCGTCGTGCGACAGGTGGATTTTCGTGTTTCGGCCCCTATGAAAAGCACGTTATTGTATTCCGGGGTATTAATGACTTCCACGTCGCGTGCCTCCTTATCTCGTCCTGCTGGGGAATTTACCTTCGTTAAAGGGATACCCGGGACTCATTTTTTTCCACGTTTTCTCTTTAAGAGTTCAACCAGTCAGTCGGTAGAATAAGAAAAATAGAAGAACAACAATTAACTTAATTAACCTCTGTAAGTGGTTACATATTAATATATATTAATCAGTGCTAAGTACATTTCTTGGATCATTAAAAATTAAAAAATGATTGTACTCATAAATTTGTTTTGCATCGAATCTGCAATGACTTATCAAATTATGTTTTTTCCTGGAGGTTCGTATTGGGTTGTCCGGAAAATAATGCAGGATTTTAAGTTTTCATTTAAAAAAATCTATATAAAATATTCTGTTTACGTTTACAGGATTACTCATTTGTATGAATGTCAACACTTATTAATCCTCTTCCAAATGATATTGTTNTGGGAAATTATTTTGATTAAAGAACATTGCTTTAAAGTAACTAGTTTCTTTTTTTTTGTTTAATACCAAAATCCTGCATTATTTTCCGGACAACCCAATAACAGCAGAAGTCATATCAACACTTGGGGTGGTGGTGATTTAGAAAGGAAAAAAACAATATTTATATGGTAATGTCATATATTACCAAAGAGAAACGTCCACCAGGAATAAACCTAAAATGGAGAGACAACAACAAACTATGGAAAGACCATCCGATACTCATGGCTCCGAGAGACGACATGAACAGGATGTTTGAATTCAACCAAAACTTCCAAATTAATCTTGGTACCAAAAAAGAATGGGAACGAGAGGGAAACAGCTCTTTTAAGAATGGCACCATCCTTTGAACACAGATGGATCTAGAACACAAGAAGGTGGAACCAAATACTCAGAACCCATGGAAAAATACACCGGTATCTGCCAAGCTGAGATTCACGCAGTGGAAAGATGTACCCAACTCAATCTGAGTAAAGGGTACAAAAACAAGCATATAGCTATCATGTCAGATAGCCAAGCAGCCATCAAAGCACTAAGCTCACATATTAGTTCAACGATGGTGCTAAACTGCAAAACCAAATTAAACACATTAGGTACGATGGACAGAGTCAGCCTCTGCTGGGTCCCAGGACACATGGGAGTATAAGGCAACGAGAAAGCGGGCACCTTTTCAAGGCAAGGAGCTGCTACACCGCTGCAGGACCTGAACCCTTCTGTGGCATGAGAACCCACGCAATCAACGAGTATCTTAGACAGAAGGACAAAAAAAAATGAAGGAACAATGGAAATCACGCATTGGACATAGACAATCCAAAAATCTCCTAACCAATTTGGGAAGGAAAAACAAATCAAAGAATGTGTCAAGGGAAGCAAGAATAAACTGCAAATCCTAATAGGATTCCTAATAGGACACTGCAAGTTAAATGGACACTTAAAGAAAATTGGAATAATCCAAGATGGCACATACAGATTGCTCAAAGAGGCGGAGGAGACACCAACTCACGTACTAACAAACTGCTGAGCTACACTAGCCCGCAAGAGGAAATGTTTTGGGATGTATAATGTGACCATAGTAGAGCTTCAACCATTGAAACCGGGCCTACTGATCAAGTTTTTAGATGAAATAGGACTCACCGATGTGCTTTAGGGCATGCTCTCAAAGGGCGCAGTATACTACACCCTGGAACCATATCTACATCTACATGTTAAGTTTGAATCTAATCCGGTACCTGTACTTGGAGCCCCGTGGTAACACTTTAACCGTGGAAACTACCGACGCCCGCCTTATTTATTGGTATCAGTTTTATATATAAAACACTTTTTCTACCACATATATGCAGAGTATCGCAATCAAATTTCGTTTTTCAAATAATAGAGGTCATGATCTGTTAACCCTGTTAGGTCGTGTTAGATCGAGAAAAATGATGACGTAAACTTGTAAGAATCGGCTATTTAACATTGCTCAATCTAACAGGCCAGGGCCAATGTTAGATGTTAGGTCGAAAATGTAGTTACTTTGCTAGCCGTTAGGGCGTAGGTAACCAACATGGCAGCCATGAATTTAACAGCAGTTTTTTGTTTGCACCCATTTTTATTCTTAAATAAGCGAATTAAATCAGATCAATGCATTTTTTGTTAATCTCTGACCTACCCTTATACTCTCATTCATAATATATCTCCAATATTCTATAAAATGTAGGCTGTTAGAGGTTAGGATTTAAGTTAGGTATGTCGGCACGAATTGAAGCGTGTCATTTGTTAGTACTTTTCTATTACATAGATAGCATTTTGAATGAAAGAGTTGATTAATTTTCCTTACATCTTACAATTTAACACAAAACAAAACTAAAACAAACACCAAGAAGCTTCGAGGACTGTCAGAGCTTTATTTTTTGTTCTACCAGTCACAACGCGCATCATTGTGGAAAAATTAACGTTTAAAATGCTAAGAAGAGGGTCTTTTAAGATCTTATTTGACATTTCAGGGGTATTCACGATCTTCGTGTTAACCCTGTTAAATCTGTTAGGTCGTGTTAGATCGAGAAAAATGATGACGGAGACTTGTAAGAATCGGCTATTTAACATTGCTCGATCTAACAGGCCAATGTTAGATGTTAGGTCGGAAATGTAGTCACATTGCTAGCCGTTAGGGCGTAGGTAACCAACATGGCAGCCATGAATTTAACAGCTGTTTTTTTGTTTACACGTATTTTTATTCTTAAATACGCATTAATTAAATCAGACTAATACATGTCTCTTGTTGATTTCTGTCCTGTCCTTATACTCTCATTCATAATAAATACGTCATCCCCTATCTTATAAAGTTTTAGGCTGTTAGAAGTTAGGATACAGGTTAGGTATGTCGGCACGAATTTAAGCGTGTCATTTGTTAGTATTTTTCGAGTGCATCGATAGCATTTTGAATGAAAGAGTTAATTAATTTTCCTTTTTTACTAACTTCTGGCATCGTACAATTCAACACAAAACAAACAACAATAAGCCTTCAAAAACTGTTATAGCTTTATTTTTGGTCATACCAGTCCCCACACGCAGCATTGCGTAAAAATTAACATTTAACATGCTACGAAAATAAGAGGGCGTTCACGATCTTCCTGGACATTTCTCTATTAAGTTAACACGAGTGAATAACTAACAAACAACGTGAAGACCCTAATAATACTTCAGTGCTAGTCTTAAGACCCAGCGTTATTTTCATTTTAATGATATAAAATAATGAATGAAATATGAAATGGTAAGACGAATTTTAATTAATTCATAACGAGTAAGTGACACATTTTTAACTAAAAATTGCTATGTACCCGATTGGTACTGAAAATATCAACGATTTTAGCTGTTCATTTTTCAATTTTTAATGGACAAACCGAATGGCCGAAAATTATTTCTGTGATAAACATTATTAATCATTTTTATAAAAGTTATGACCACTGACCTGCGACGTGCAGCGTAGCGTTCCTACTGGTCGCTGAGCCGACCTGATTGGTGGCCACGCACCAGTAGACGCCGTCGTCCTGCTCTTTCTTCCCATGAGCGACCCTGAGAAAGAACAGGGACCCAGAAGGAAGGAGGACTCTGTGGGTTTTGACGTCCGGGCCGTTGGTGTTCACGAACTCCCCATCCTTGTACCACCTTATGGACGGCTCTGGACGGCCTTCGGCTTTGCAGTAAAGTGTGACCGGTTCGTTCTTAGGTACGACAACGTCCGAGGGGTGTTCGATTATCCTGGGAGACCTGAATTGCCCTGTAAAAAAAATAAAATTACATTATTTATGTTATGATCAGCTTCCATACGTACATAAGCATATGAAGGTAGCTACCAAAGATATTTTTTACCAGATTATACAAGTAATATTAAAATTTGGCTTATCACTAACAAATCGACCTTATCCGTTTTACATTATATTTGTTACGATTTGGCGAACGCACATTAGGTGTGAAAAAGCAGCCTAATTTTCCATTTTGTCGTGTAAAGTGAAATAATATAAAACCATAAAAGAGCAGTGTTTTGGTTGAGCCGTTATCATTAAAATACGAGTCGTTAACCTCAGCCACACGCGACCATAATTTGTCGATCATGATTCTCGAGAGGTTAAGACAACTGGAGCTTTACATTCAACATTAAGCCATCATCATAAAAATCATGCCGTCTAGAAACTGAAATAAAGATTAACAGCGTGACGAGGTCTGCACGAATTTGCTTCAAAATTAGGAAAAGCTCATATTGAGCTTAATAGACTATGAAGGCGTTGCATTTGAAGTATATTCTGGACTGCCGCATCCTGAAAATAAATCATATTTATATGTCTAAATATAATATAAATGTAAATGCTACATTCCCTACGATAAATACGGCTTTTTTTACCGCTACGCGAATAATGAATGCTTCCTTGCGATTCGCTGAAAGACACAATTTAATTTTTTTTTTAATTTTCTTATTGTAACCTGGCATTGATGTCCCTGGGAACGAACAAGCAGTTAAGGCAGAGAAGTTAGTCATGACGAGATCAAAGATTTCACCTAGAGACGTCCTGTGAATTTACAACTAAAACGATTGTTATAACAAATGAATGGAGGACATCGGTCCATGGCCTGCGGAGTATAGAAGGGGTCATCCTCACCACGTTGCGCATGTCATACCCAGATCTCACACGGGTACCTTCTATTGGTGGTAGACCATGTAGGTGCCCGTTATCCTGGTACAGAATATAATAACAGACTGTAAGTAACTAAGTTTGCAAAAAAGAAACACGACATCCGGAATGATCTAAGTGGCACGGCACCAAGTACAGCAGATCCCTGATCCGAACCAAAAACATACTTAATTGTGTACAGATTTTTGTACCTATATCTATAGATGTATGCGATATGTATTGTTTATTGGAACGAATATCGAGGCCCTAAAGTACAGACAGCTAGCAATAGTATAAAGAAAAGAGAGAGTTGGTTAGGATATTACATGGGCAATAACCTCCTTAGGTATTAAACCTTTTCACTTGACAACCTTTAGATCCTAGGAGTATTCCCGATGTTTTGTAGATGTTAACTCGTGTTAACTCGAATAAAGAAATGTCCAGTAAGATCGTGAACGCCCCCTTCTTTTCTTACCAAGTGAAATGTAATTTTTCCGCAATGCTGCGCGTGGTGACTGGTAGAACCAAAAACAGCTATAACAGTCCTTCAAGGCTTGTTGTTGTTTGTTATGGTTTTGTTTTGAAGCCAGAGGTTAATAAAAAAAGGAAAATTAACCAACTCTTCCTTTCAAAATGCTATCTATGCACTCGAAAAATACTAACAAGTGACACGTTTCAATTCGTGCCGACATACCTAACCTGTATCCTAACCTCTAACATCCTACAGCTTTATAGGAGGGGGGTGTATATGCTATGAATGAGAGTATAAGGGCCGGTCAGAAATTAACAAAAGAACTGTATTTATTTAATATATTATAATATAATATATAATATTATAATAATATATTTAATATATTTAATTAATCAGTATTTAAGAATAAAAATACATGTAAACAAAAAAACAGCTGTTAAATTCATTGCTGCCATGTTGGTTACCTACGCCCTAACGGCTAGTAAAGTGACTACATTTTCGACCTAACTCCAACATTGGCCCTGGCCTGTTAAATCGAGCAATGCTAACTAGCTGATTCTTACAAGTCTACGTCATCATTTTTTTTCGATCTAACATGACCTAACAAAGTTAACAGGGTTAACACAAATATCGTGAATACCTCGACGTCATCTGTTTGTCCCTGAATATTTTTATTCCAGTATTCCAGTCGGCAAAAGAAATGTGTTGGTCTGACTTAAATTATGCGTATTTAAGAATAAAAATACGTGTAAACAAAAACACAGCTGTTAAATTCATGCTGCCATGTTGGTTACCTACGCCCTAACGGCTAGCAAAGTGACTACATTTTCGAGCTAACATCTAACATTGGCCCTGGCCTGTTAGATCGAGCAATGTTAACCAGACGATTCTTACAAGTCTACGTCATCATTTTTCTCGATCTAACACGACTTAACATTATTAACAGGGTTAACACAAAGATCGTGAATACCCCGTGTTCAAAACATTTTGCTTTAGCAATTCCCCTATCTAATAATGAATGGCAAAAGTTAAAACAAAAACAAAACAATCTTTCAAAAAAAAATTTTTTTTTTTTTAAATGCCATAATTAATGTAAAAATTGATGTAAAATACCAATTTGTCTCTCCAGTATCTCATAATCTACGGGATTTTCATCAGTCGAGTCATAATGCCAAATTGACATAAAAATAATTTACAGACTTTGAGCTACCTGATTGGTCACAAAATTTTCTAATATGTACGTAGGAGTATTTATCTTGTTAGGGGCAACATTTGGGTCAGTGAATAGGGTCAACAACAGGAATCTATTTATCTATTTTATTTTTAGAAAAAATTCGTCGCAAAGTTCTGATTTTTTACTGTTTCTTTCGCTTTCGAAATTTTATCAGTTGTTATAAAGAAAATTGTTAACTGTTTTTTTCTGATTAGCTTACTTTTCAAGCACAAAAGCTATTTGTAATCTCAATTCTATTTTGGATTCGTTTGGACAGTTATTCATATTATTTACAAAAGGGGACCAAACCGTATAGGAAAGGGTACCAATTGAAATTTAATTTGTAAGGGATTCTGAAGTGGGTGCACAAAGGCCCCTTTTGATTTCAACAGGAAGCCAAAGGAGATGTTTTATAAATAAGGCAAAAAGCCGGTAAGAAGCGAGGGCCAAGGGCCAATTGAAGTCCCGTTTGTTCCCTCATCGTACAAACATTAGTATCCGGAGCGTTTTCCTAGCTAGAAAGGAGTAAACGACGACGCTGCGCAATCGGGTCGGGTTCATTAAATTCGGAAGGGGAAACCAAGTCGTCGTTATGGGGTTGGAGGGTTCTCGAACTAAGTCACAATTATGCTCGGGAGTGGATGAATGCGCTTCTGTTCTGCTAATGAGCTTAACACTGATTAAAACCACCGAGGGACCGATTCGGCGGAAAAGCGCGAACAGCTTCCCTCCTTATACAATTATTTTAAAAAAACCCGCAACATTGGTGATTTTAGTTTTCTTGTCCGACCACGATCTTTCTTTGAATCATCCAAAAGGAGGAAGGAAAAAAATTCTTATCTGGTTGATGATAATTAGTTACATTAACTTGTTCAATTGAGAAAATTTTTTTATTCACTTGAAAAGTTTTTGAAACATGAAGAACACAATCTTATGCAACTATAAATTCAACATACATATAAAATATTAATAAATCACTTTTTTTTTTAATTTAAAACATGCTTTCCAAAAAAAATTTGTCATCTGTAAAAAGAAAAATAGGACTATAATAACTAAGCAAATAAAAATAGATTAAAAATATTAACTATAAAAAAAAACATGTTTTTAATATTACTACAGAGAAAATGGAAAAACCTTTAAAATATCAAATTTGAGTAACTTTTATTTAATAATTACACGCTTAATCATAATCCATTTATATTTACCAAATTACTTATTTCAATTAATTATTATTTTTATGTATAAGGTCTTGGTTGGGATGAAAAAGATTAGGGGTATTCACGATTTTTGTGTTAACAATGTTAGGTCTTGTTAGATCGAGAAAAATGATGACGTGAAATTGTAAGAATCGGCCGGTTAACATTGCTCGATCTAACAGGCCAGGGCGAATGTTAAATGTTAGGTCGAAAATGTAGCCACATTGGTAGCCGTTAGGGCGTAGGTAACCAACATGGCAGCCATGAATTTAACAGCTGTTTTTTGCCTTTAAAGACTGTTATAGCTTTATTTTTGATTCTACCAGTCGCCACGAGCAGTATTGCGGAAAAATTAATGTTTAACATCCTAAGAAAAGAAGGGGACGTGCACGGATTTTAACCCCATATGGCTTTGTTAATGCCTCTCGTCACGTAATTTCATTAACTTATCGCTGAAAAAAGTCCCCACTTAGAAGATTTAAAAGAGGGATCGTCCTCACCCGATAAGAAAGGCCATGCGAGGTTGACTTAGGGCCACTTAGATTTGAGCCAAAGCAGGCATGTTTATTTGCTCAATGTGGCTCATTTATTAAAAAATAAAAATATTAAAAAAATTGTGCCTGAAAATTTTTGGTTTCCTTGCTTCGATTTTTGAGGGAAAATGACTTGGACTTCGTCAAAATCTGTTGGTTTCTTTTTGCAATATATTAAAATTGGATGTGTTTATAATGCGAATGGGTATCTGATTTCGGACTACCAAAACACCGACGTCGGTGATGGGGGTGCGAGCCGAGAAAAGTTGTAAGTTCAATTCCGTACTTACGTGTATTTATGTAAATTCGTACCTATATTGTATAAATTAACCAATAAAACAATGTCCTCAATCCTTACTAATAAGTTTTAATTAGTTGAGTTTAAAGTAAATTTCTTCACCTTCACTCCACAGATTTGTTCGTCAGATAATAACTTAAAAGGAACAGTTCAAAATATACGGACGCCAAAACGTATTAATCATCATCATTTCTGATTTACGAACCGAGACACGTGGAAGCTGCTCGGGGATCTGCTAGAAGGGTTAAATCATCATTTTGCCATCCATTAAACGTGACGCTGATGTTGATGAACGGCCTCCCGGAAATACAGTCTCACGGACAGGCCGGGATACGTCCCGGGGCCCGGTCCTGATGATTACTGAGCAGGTGATGAAGACGTGATATCTAATAAAAGATG